GCCTCAGAGCTCATCTCAATCTCCCCTCTCAGGAGCCAGCTGAGGAGGAGGGGAGGTGCTGTTGGAGACCAGGGATTTGAGACAACGTGAAGAGATGGAACCGCTGCAGAAAGCAGGAGCACTGCTGGGGCAGGGAGGAGTGATGCTCCCGATTTCATGCTCCTCATTAAGTGATGCAAAAATCTTTTCCTCTCTTAAGTACGAGCAGATTTAAGAGATGCACAATCAGAAACACGGGGACTTCAAGCCAGGGCTGGGCTTTGGACCAACTCTGGCAGGACTCAGACCCAGGTCAGTCCCCAGTGGCCCGGAAAACATCTGCCCTGGTTTCCCCGGGGAGGTGCTGCCCCCTTTTTATTGCGAACATGGGGCACACAGCGCAGAAAAATTCACCTTCTAGTCTGAAAGCTGTCACTGCGGGCACCCTGCCCACACCCTGGGCTTTCCAGAATGGCAGCCTTGAGCAATGGGAGTGAAGGTATCAGGAGGTGGGCAGAAGGAGTAGTGCTGAAGTGCCTGCAAGCATCCCGAGGGATGCGCCGTGCTTCCCCAAGGACCAAGGTATGTATCCTTGCCAGCATCCTGATTTTCCTACTCTTCAACCTAAACCTGCTTCTGCCCTCTCACTGTACCCATGGGGTGTAAAGCTTTCCCACAAGGGAAAAAAATGCTCCTTGCTGCTCCGAGAAGGTCTCTGAGCAACCCTGCATCTGGGCAAGAGCAGACAAGTGGCCTTAAGTGCGTGAGCAATGCTGGAACTGTTCTTTCACACTCAACAGAAAGCAGATGAATAACGTTTCCAGGAGATTAAAAACACTTTCCTGCTTATTTGAGGCTTGCCAGAAAACAAACACACCTTCAAGGTCTGCCTCTCATTACCAATCACCACTAACACGAACAGAGACCAAGTGAGTGTCTGATGGATAAATTAGCTCCCCTACCACAAGCCATTCCCATCACCTTACAGGAAACTCCTTCTTGCACCAGTCAAGCCAAGCTGGCAAAAAGAGCCCCATTAGCGTTGAGTAATTAACCTTGAGTGGAACGAGCCCAGGAAAGCCAAATGGTGATTACACATCCCATCGGAGCTTGGATGCTTCCTAAAGGGCTCACGCTAATCCCCACCAGTCAGCCTTGGCTCCTGCAGCTCTAATTGATTTTTAATTTCTCTTTGGGCAGCATGTTTAGCATAGATCATAGTTCACATTGGGAAAGCCAAGTGCCCGGCACCAGTCTACAGCTCAGCATCACCCTCAGCGCTGTGGCTTTCCATATCCTCATTGCCTCAGCCAACCTGCAAGGACTGCTTGCCACCCTCCAATTGTAATCAGCTGTTCGTTGGGAGACCAGTGCAGATCCTTCCTGACCGATGGGGATCTGTTCCCTCTTGGAGACGGGGTCGAGAAAGGCCCCTGGGTGTCCAAAGGAGACTTGCTTTCTTGGGGAGACACCTCCCAGCTTCCCCACACATGTGACCACAGCAAGTCAAGACTTGTTATTCTAATACAAAGCTCTTTCATCCTGATAAAGTCCAGATGCTCATTCACAGCCGCATGAGTCACAAAAACCCAGGGATCCATCTCCTATAAGACCAGAGCTCCTGAGCTGCCCAAAGATTTCACAAACCCAAAGAAAATCAACAAACCTTCGTGTCTCAAAAGTAAATTACTCTTCAAAAACAAAAAACCCCACGTCTAATAACAACCAGCAGAGAATGAACAAAGAAATAATCCACTATCCCTAATTATATGGAAAGCAACAACACAGCTGAATAAACCCATCTCCTCAACCCACACTCAGAGATGAGGCCCCAACCTTCACAAGCAACTTATGGCACATGAATGAGAAACAAAAAGTCCATTTTACTCACCACAGCCCCACTGATCCCTCCAGCAGCCTCCCTCGACCTCCTGGTGCAGCCAAAGACCATCAGCACCCACCAAGGGTGGGGTGGTCCCTCCACTCCATCACCTTCCTCGTTCACACACCCCAGGCATCACCTGCAGGTGCTGGAGCTGGGACAAGCCTTTAGGGCAAAGCAGATATGGGGACAGCCCACACATGGTCTGTGAGCTGCCAGCTCATGCCCTGGGACAGGGACAGCCAAGAGGGGCTGGGCAGGGTTGAGTCTAGTTCTTGCTCTCTGGTTATCCCACATAATCTGGTCAACCCTGTGTCCCAGAGAGCTGCTGTGTAAGGATGTGTCTGCATGACCCTCTTCATGCCAGAACAAGGCAGTAGGGGCTGTTTGCCCTTCTGTCTGCGTCTAAAAGGGAGAAGAAACTCCATCTCATCCCATCCCATCTGATCCCACCATGGTTCTTCATACCCATCTTGCTTGAGTTCCTCCATCCACACAGCACCTCCTTCCTTCCCACCATGTCCAGGGGGACTAATGCCCCGGCACTAGTCACTCCCCAAAGATTTAGATCCTTCCCAGGGCTTGACACGCAGCTGTGGGAGAACCAGGCAGGCTCTGAGCCAGGAGAGCACAGATTTCCAGAGAGCTTCTCCTACAGTGGGTGGAGAAAACAGAGTAAAAGCCTGTGATGACACCACTGCAGCCTCTCAGGGTCACACCACTTACTGCTGGGCTCCTCCCAGGGATTGATGGTGGAAGTGTGGCAGATGGTTGATCCCAGAATCAGGGCCAGAGCACGTGTAGGGTACAAAGAAGATGGGTTTCTAGTTGTCACAGGGCTGCCAGAATGTGGAAGAATGATCATAAATACCCCCAAATGTTTTTCACCCTGAGTACAGGCAGGAGACACATTCTCAGCTTCTGGCCACAGACCTTCAACCACCAAATTTGGGTGGCAAACCTCCATATGAGTGTCCAGAATGATCCTATGGGACAAAGTAGTCCCCAGAACTGTGCATCCCATCTCCTTGTGGGTATGTCTCTTCAGCAGACTGTGTTGACAGTTGTCCCATTGGAGCACCCTGATGCCACCCCACCATTTACAGCACCATCCTTGGTGTTCTTCTCTGAGACTGAGACGGGTTTGTGTCTCTCATGCCTGGTAATGGCTGTTTCAATGCCCTTGAGACACAACTGCACATCCTCCCGAAAGGATGGGGTGTACAGTCCATAGATGATAGGGTCAGTGCAGGTGTGCAGCAAGCCAAAGAGAAAGAAGCTGTGGTTGACATATTCCGGCATCTTCTGGATCATGGCTGGCTGGAACCAATACCACAAGCCCAGAAGGTAATATGGGGTCCAGCAGATGATGAAGGTGGCAACAATCACTATGGTCATCTTCAGAGTCTTCATACGTGCCTTGGAGATGTGGTCACTTTGATTTCTCATCAAACCTACCAGGGACAGCCAAAAGGATAGCTGAGATGGGAGAACACCAGGAGAACACCAGGAGAACATAACCATCCATGACTGTGGTTCTGCCAGAGAAGGGAGACTATCTCCTGCTCTGGTCTGTGGCCCACAGGAGGCAGAAGACAGCAAGGAGAGGGGGTCAAAAAGCTTGTGTAAAATCCCTTAGTTGGGGTTCAAAGGGTGGTGGGACAGACCCAACTATGCTCCAGGCTGGAGCAGGTTCAGTCGTGGAGTCATGGTGGACACTAAGGGGCTGGGACCTGCTTACCTTTATTGATCTTTAGCTGCTTGCTGATCTCCCAGATGATCCGGGTGTAGCAAACGATCATGACGCTCAGGGGGGTGATGTAGAGGGTGGTGAAGGTGAACATGTTGTACACGGTTTCCTCCCAGTGCGTTCGGAAGCTCCCATGAGTAACACACTGGGTGAAGTTCCCTCCTGGGGCTGTGTCCAGGTGGAAGAGGAAAAGCTGAAATGGAGAAACAAGTAATAACTCAGAGAGCTTTTGGAACAGGGCACCACATGCTGGATGTGCAGGGACAGCACCACCCTGCTGCTGTCAGGCTGGGAGAGGTACTCCGGGCACCTAACTCATGGCTATGGCCAGGATGGATGCAAGCTCTGAAGTCCCATCTTCTGGCCATATCAAATGTTATTTTGGTCAGGAGCTGCTCAGGTTTGTCTTGGTCTGCTCCAACATGTAACACCCTGATGGTGTTGCAATGAATGGGTGCTATAAGGAAGGTGCAAAGCAGCACTGAGCACCCAATGCAGCAAACACACCGCTTCGCTCTGCAAAGCGAATACGGTGGTGTTGGAACCAATGGATTGGGATAGACTTGTTGGGGATGCCAGGATGCGGAAGCCCCCCTTCAAACCCACCCCAGCTTAGGCTAACCACATGGGGAGAGCACTGGGCCCTACCTGGGGTGAAGCCAGGAGCACGCTGCCAACCCAGGCAGCACGGAGCAGCAGCCCGTTGCGGCGGCGAGCGCGGGAGAAGGGATGGAGGATGGCCGCGTGCCGGTCCAGGCTGATGACCACCAGCACCAGGGCGGCCGCGTACATGGCAAAGAGCTTGAGGAAGTTGAGGAGCTTGCAGGAGATGTCACCTCCGTACCACTGCACCGTCACGTTCCACGCTGCATCCAGGGGCATCACCGCCACCGTCACCAGCAGGTCGGCCAGCGCCAGGCTGAGGATCAGCGGCCGCACGTGGGATTTCCTCCTCTTCCTCAGCAGGCTGCCCAGCACCGCCGCGTTGCTGCCCGCCGCCAGCAGGAAGAAGATGACCGTGATGATCACCCGCACCCTCGCTGCTTGCGTGAACCGGGGCTCGACCCAGCGCTCAGGGCAGATGGAGGCTGAGACGTTGGCATCCTCCTCTATAGTGGGGAAAGGGGGAGATGCGGGGAGCTGCTCGTCACTCATCCCCTGCCGAAAGACAAGCGGCAATGTGAACCCCCTCTTAGGGGCTGTGTGGTGTGCTGCAGCTTCAGTATAAGGGGAGATGGTGGGATCTGCACTGGAGGCACCAGCAGCAACCTCCCAGTCCCAGCCCATCCCCTCTGTGTTGCCTGTTTTGCCAAGCCACCACATCTCCCAGCGTGGTGACGCTGCCTGGCTGCCCTCTTTGGCTAACCCCTGCTGTAGCTATAGAGGTTGCTCACACCGATGTGTATTTTTAGCTCTTTGTGAGGTGGGTGAACAGCTGGGAAGTGGGACCGGTGGTCAGAATTAAGGGATGAGCTGCTGCGCACCAGCACCTAGCCAGGAATAGGTCACGTTGGAGCTGGCTGAGCCTGTGCTGGAGCAGCCGGTTCAAGGACTCATCCTTTCAAAGGGGCTTTGCCAGCAGGGCTCAGCTCTTTAGAAATCCCATGGCACTTTCCATTAGCGTGTTAAATCTTAATGGTCCACCTTCATCTCCAGCACCGGCTCTAGGGCCATGGGTGGGAGCACCTGGGGGTGACCAGGAAGGGAGAAGGGGCATCCCACACTGTCTGGGGTCTGACTGTGGCTCTCAGGAGAGGGTCATGGTGGCATTTAGAAGCCTGGACCTTACCACTGACTGCACAGCACCAGCTCAACACCTCTTGCGGTCCCTTTGCTTTTAGGGGGTGAAGCAGAAAGAGGAGGTGAAGGTAGAAACACATCCATACAGGGGGCGGCTGGGGGTGATGAGTAACATGGTGGTTCCCCATCGTTTGACTTAGTTGCCCTTTTTGCCCCAGCACAACCAGCTTGGGGACAACTCACATTTCAAGGGCAAATACTTCAAACTCTCAGGGACATGAGCTGTTAACAGTCCCAGCCGCAGGCAGGGTAAGTCTCTTGGTGTTTTAAGCACTTTCTGCATTCCCTACCTTAGAACAAATAACATGAGCAGCAGAGATCAAATCTGCCTCCCCAGCTCTGCAGGACGGAGATGCCAACACCTTGCAGCAAGCCACCCTCCTCCAGCCCCACAAACAGCACCCCAAGCCCCCTTGCTGCCCTCACCCCCCTCCCTCCTCACAGACCAACCCAACAGGCAAACAGCAAAAAGAAGCAGCAGTTTAAAAGTACCTAGCTGCTTGCTGGCTCTCTGGAAGAAACAAGGGGAAACCCAAGTCCAGGTCTGCATTAGTCCCAGCTGATGGGAACGTACCTGGCATACGCATGCCCTGACGCTGAAAGAAGATGCTCCTTTTCTTTCCCCAGGGTCTCCCACCACTGCGGTGCCGAGTCAGGATGCTCCAGCGTGTCTTTGCATCACATCCCTGCAACAAACCCCTTAAAGGAGCAAAATCTCCCCGTGCGAGCCAGGAGTGATGCTGTTTTTAGCACAGGCAAACGCAGGCATCTGGAGATAGCAATGCTGATGCAAACATCCCCTGTGCTGGCAAACCAGGAGGTGGGCACCCATGGGCAGCCCGGGTCAGGCAGCTGATGGTGTTTCACCCCTGCCCTTGCAGACTTAAGGAGCTGCTTGGTTTCAGGCTTAATGAGCAGGCAGCAGTGATGATGACAAAGCTGCTGTATTGCAAGGAATGGCCAAAATTCAGGATGCTGTAGCCAAATGCGGCCCCATGAGGGATAAGTGCCAACACTCCCTGCATCAGTTTTCTATAAATACAGGGAAATGAGTTAATTATCCCTGGAGTTAGTGATGAATATCCCGTTGCTCAGACAACCAGGAGACTCATAGCACAAACAGGCACACACGTGCCACAGCGATGCTCCTGGACCACACAGGTCCATGGGAGCATCACGGATGAACACAGGAATGTGCTTGAACTGGAAATGCTCTAAGGAGGGAATTAAGAAGAAACTTAGGTCATTTTTCCATTTTAATGAATATACATATTTTTATTGTGCTCTATCAGTTCCCACCTTGTTCATTCTTGTTTTCTTTTTCTCTTTCTTTTTCTCTTTCTTTCTTTCTCTTTCCTTCTCTCTCTTTCTTTCTTTTCTTTCTCTCTCTTTCTTTCTTTCTTTCCTTCTTTCCTTCCTTCTTTCAGCATAATGCAGTGAGAGCTCAATGTGAAACCCCAGGAGGGACAAAGAGCTCACAGAAGCTTAATAAATATGATGTGCAATGCAAGGGCAGGGAGGGAAACTGAGGACATCTTGCTCCTCTGGCCAGCAAGAGTGAAAGAGCAGTGGGGATGACAGAGGACCAGCCCCAAGCCCCTCTGGGACCAGCAACAGCAAACACGCTCCCAGGGGCATCACAGGAACTTTAATTACCTGCAAATAGACCTTCACATCTCCTGGTCTATTGCATTAAGAAGTACACAGTGTGCACTGTGGGGACTGCAGGTCCCAGGCTGGAGCTGGTGGCTCTGTGCTGTTCACTGAGAAGAGGAGGTTCCCTCTCTGGGATAGGAGGTTTTCCGATGTTAAACCTATTCCCACTTATCCCTGGGAGGAGACACCTGAGGTCTGATGGGGGGTTGCACCATTTCTGTGCTTGCTGTGCTAGTAGGGATGCTCCTGGGCACAAGTAGAACAGGAGGACCTTTTCCCTTTTGTGGGTTTAAGGGTCAAATTGTGTGGCAGAGACTGATTCCTGAGACCCAGGAGATGCTGCAGGCTCTGGACCACCTCAGCCACGGAGACACCACCATCCATTAGAGCTCCCTAAAGCCCCATTGCTTCTGCACTGAACCAAAAGGGATCAAGCTGGAAACCCTGTGCTCAGAGCCCCAGAGGGCAGTTTGAGTATTCAAAGAGCAGGAGGGCAGGCACCCAACACGCACCAGCCACCCCTGCCACGTACAACGGGACCGGCCCCATCACCTCCTTACCTGGCAGGAGCATCACCCCCCAGCACCACAGGAAAGCCTGGTCTGTGGGGGGACAAAAGGCACAAAACCCATGAAGAAGTCATGTGGAAGCCTGTTTGTTCCAGCAGCCACCTCCTCCTGGCGTTAGGCCCCTGTTTAAAGCTGAGATTACATCGGCCCCACATGCTCATCCTTATTTTCCCTTTCATTTAGCTCTTTGCACCTGCACGAAAGCAATTGAATAGTGAGTCAGGAATGTATTCCCTGTTTGTCCTCCTTCCTGGCTGGCTGCCTTTTTGTCTAGAAATGTCCTCTCCATCCCCGACTGTATGATGTAAGAGAGGGACAGGATTTTTCTGGGGGACCGTAAGCCTCACTCATGCCACAACAAAGCCTTTGGTCCCTGTTCAGAGAGGATGTTTTTAACATGCCATCACGCAGAAATGTCCTGGGCATGCGTTAGCAATAAGTCTTATTTAAGGGTGGGGTTCCTCATTAAAATGACTATTTTCCTCCGGTGTTTGCACAGTAACCCCCATGTGTTTTCCCTTGTTTCTTGTTTCCCCTCATCTCCTCAAAGGTCAGCTTGGATGTTGTCTGCTCAGCAGCCTTCAGCTGAATCTCTGAACACAGGTTTAACGATCAGAGGGTTTTGGTCCCCAGGATTAGGAAACAGGGCTGGCAGACAGGGCTTGTTTCCATACACCCCAGCTTGGCTCTTCCTGAAATCCCTTCTTTTTGGGATGGTGCCCCAGTACATCCCTGGAGCTGCAGCCCAGCTCTGGGTCATGGGGAGCCAGAGCACCTCCAGGCATCCCCAAACAGGACTTTTCCCCCCAAATCCATACAGATCATCCTGGGATGCTGGAGAAAACAGAAACTAGAAAGTTACACCAGTAGCAATGTTTGCATGAGCAGACCTTAAAGAAAAAGGCAAGTGCTGTGTTTTTCCATCGGATATCCTGTATAAACTGGGATCTCATGCAGAGAAAGTGGCACGGGATGTAATTTCCATTAGCCGAGTGCAAACACGTGGCAGGGAACCTGCTGCTGTTTATGCTCATAAATCACCACCAGGGTCTTGGCTTCACAAAAGAGAGAAAAACTATTTCACTTCTGAGAGGAACTCCTGCTGCTGAGTGTTATGGGGGGGGGGCGGGTAATGACTGCTCTTGGTCCAGCAGAACCATCCTATAGCAGCAGCCATCACCTGCACCCTCACCCCCAGCACCCTCGGGTGTTTGTGCTGGGCTGGCTATCCAACAATCCCCCTTTGCCCAGAGAAAACTCATGATTTCAGAGTTCTTAATGCTGATTTTTGTTTTCTTTTTCCCTTCCAGTTCTTCTCCTCCAAACCTTGAATTGTCTCAGGAGCAGCTCGTCCAAGGAAATTTTTGTCTCATACTGGACTCGAAACAGAAAGTCTAGTCAGGGACATCTGACATGCAATGTTTTTGTGAGTAAATACCAGCGTCCATGAAGTCATTTCCCGGGGTTAGAAATGAGCTCACCTCTGGAACGGCTTCTCTTCTTACCCAAAGTTCACAAGTCAAGCGGTTGGGAAGCTCCCAGTTTTCGTTCTCTTGAGAAAACAGCACTGGGGCTGCCTGTGGCGTGATACTGCCTCCGGTTGTACACTATGGACAGGTCCGTGGTGCGACAACACCCTGAATTCCCTGAAATCCTTCAGCAAAAGGCAGAGGACCAAAGCTCAGCGGTCACTGGGGATAAACCAGTGTCTCATTCTGCCTGCTCACCCAGCCCTGGCTGCTCTGCCGAGCCTGCCAAGAGGGACAATAATTGCTGTCCCTCGTGGGAATAATCTGGGTCATCCCGTCCATCTCCTTACAGCCCATGTTTAAAGCAGAAGGAGGGCTCTCTCCTGCCCACTGGGCTCAGTATCTTGGTAAACTATGTCTATGGACTGTTTCTTGGTGAAATAACACACTTTTTTTGATTCAGTTTCAAGTGTCGAAGCCTTGCTGCAGACCTGGTTGATAAGAGCCCTTCTCCAGGGGTACCATGCCACTGGATAGTAGTGCTGAGAAAAACATGCTCTCAATCCTCAAACCCACTGCAATTCCCATCTTTTTATGCCCTAGGTGGTGCTCCTGGTGTTCCTGGATATCCAAGTCATGTACCCGGCCAGGATGGTGTAAAGGACAAGGACCCCTCTGGCAGGGGAGCCCGTATGCCCAGAGCACCATTCCCAGAGGTTCCTCAAATTTACACCTTCCCATGTGGAGCCGCAGCTCTCAGGGTCTTTCTTCCATCTCTCACCAGGATATGCTGACCAGAGCGAAATCCTCTTTCCCCATCTCTAAACTAGACAAGAGAGAAGAGTGAATCTATCACCCTAGACCAAACCCTGAGGTCAAGCTCCAGAAAACCTGTTGGGCTTTGGTGCTGAGCCCCATCCACTCATTGCTAAGCAATAAACCCAATTAACCTGAATGCACATGTACATCACTATTCCACTCACAGTTCGTCTTTCCCACAGCAGCTTTCCCTTGCCCAAGCTGGAAACCCCACTGGGGGGATCTATTTGGGAAATCTCACCCAGCACCCCGGTCCTGTGATGCTCCGGTCCCCAACAAACCAGGAAGATCACCCATAGCGCTGATGGAGGGGCCATGGGTCCCCTTCGGCTCTGGTACACACTGACCCAGACAGGGCTTT